ATTAACAGCAGTTTTGATTATGAGAGTTTAAAATCAATTTGTCAGGTAAGCAATATTTTGCCAAATGCAAAGTCAGCAGTTTGAAACCACCTGCAGCCCCTTGGGAGAAAGACAGGGCTGCCCACTCCCATCAAGAGTCTTGGAAACCCACTGGGGCAGTGCTGCCCTGTCCGTTGGGTCACTAGGAGTCAGCCAGAGTTGACTCAATGGCAGTGAGCTTGTTTTTCTTTCTTTCTTTGGTTATATTATTAATAATAAAAATGATGTTTATAATAGCAATAATATAGTTTTTTCCTATTTTACAAATTACAGTTTTCAGTATTTAGTTTCTTACAGTGCATACATTTACTTTTAATAAGAGTATATAAGTATATATAATATCAAAAAGTGATATTAAAAGAAAATGTAACCTTTACACAGGCTCTTTGAAAGCTCTTTTGTATTTGGCAAATTTGATTTTAGGTTTTGTTTTTAAATACTTAAACTTATAAACAAAATCTTTGTGGCTTAACTTTTGTGCGATTTTTATTTCTATTGCACAAGGGGATATGGGGACTTGTGGATGTGTGTCCTGCTCACTTTTACAACATCTAAATAAGCCATTTCAGGGCATTCATAGAAAAACAACTTAATATCCTTATATTTGACCAAGTAGGAATTAGTGCTACTCATGTTAACTTAGGAGAAACACACCTGCACACTTTCTTTCAGTGATCAAAATATAAAACATACTAAATAACAAGAATAGTTTCCTTTCTAATTATTATTTCTGTGATTTTCAAAATATTCTGTCAGAGATATCTCATTTTAATTGGATTTTTCTGCTTTCACTGAGATAGTCTTTCTGATTTATTGTTTAGTTATTTTTATATTGGAGACATTATTAAAACGCCTACTGGTTTTATACTCTTATGTGGTCTAAAGCAAAGTGTGTGTTGGCACCTCGAACTTAAATGAAACCCCAGTTAATCCACAGTTTCTCTCTGGGGGTGTGTATTACTCTGAACTCGTGTATTGCTTTGTGTTCCACAGAAAAAAAGTATTTGAAAGAACACCTTTTGCCAAAGATTTCTAGTTCATTTCTTAAAATGACACGGCTTTGGAAGATAATAAAATTATTGTGCTTACTTAAATGATAAGCTTGATGTGTTGGCCTAGTGCTTCTTGAAGGGTCAAAGCATCATTACAAATGAAAACTTCTAAGATGTGACTTTTATCCTGAACCTCTTTCTCCAGAAGTCTGAGGTTTTGTTGTTCTCAGTGATGGTGTCAGGTGCTATTGGCTGATGGCTAACTCATAAGCATCTCGCGTACAACAGAGCAAACCACTACCCAGCCTGCACCCCCCTCATCCTCATTGCTATGTGTGAGCACAGGTTGCATCCAACGTAGCCATCCAAAGCATTCAGCGGCTTCTTTTCCATTAAACTTAACCAAGCATGAAATTCTTCTCAGGTACTGTTTCCTCCTGATAACCTGTCTCAACATCATGCTTCTAAGGAGCATCCTAGCTATAGTTCTTCCAAGACAGTTTTTTTTTTAATTCTTCTGGGACTCCATAGTATTTATGGCCATTAGCCTTCTAAAACACCATAATTCAAAGGTACCAATCAATACATCTTCAGTCTTCTTACTCACGGTCCAGCTTGTGCCTGCTATGAGGCTGTTGAAAAGAAAATGGCTTGGGTTAGGTTCCCTCTCATCCTCAAAGGGACATAGTCACTTTGTAACATTTTAGATAGTCATTATTCTACCAGAAATATCCTGCCATTCAGTATGGAATCATTGTAAACAAAAATAATAACGTTTTGGGAACTTTAAGGTCCTTTTTCCAGGGAGAACTTTGAAACAGATTTAGCCTTATGACTTCTCAGAAATCACTGTACTGGATTTTGTTCAGTCAGTATCACCAAGGGATCACAAGGAACAAGGGCACCAAGAGGACCCCTTTGAACCAGCCTACTCATAAGAAATTAGAAGTGGGCCAGTCCACTCAGTCATCCAATAGTTCCCTAGATGTTGCAAAAAAAACCCCAAGAAAAATAGTTCTGAATTCTGCTCATTCTGAATTTCCCAGGCTGTCCATAGTTAAGCCCAGATTCTCTGTTAAATATGAGATAAGCAGGGGTATTTCCAAATTTAGGAATAAAAAGCAGAGAAATGAGACAGACTAGGCTCCTACTCAAAGCTTGAGGCTTTAAAAAACATGACAGGGTCTATTTGTTTTCAGAATGCCTGGATTGGCTACCTCTGTGGTTGAGAAAGGAAAGAGCTCAGTGTGGTAGAATTCTGATCCCTGCCACAGAAGAGCAGAGAGTATTGGGGTCGACATTCTCCCAGGAATGGTCATAAACTCAAGGAGGGAATTTCCATGAAGCGCTCTCCAAATGAGGCCATTAACAAGCTCAACAGACACCCATTCAACGACTCAGCAACAGGCATTCACGGAGTTTCCCAGCAGACATAAAAACAAAGATCAAATCTGATATTTATGCAAGCGCATGCTCTGAATTCCAGGGGCTCTCCCCCACCCCCCACCCCCCTTTGAGACTAGCTGATCAGCCTGTCCCTGGTTTATCTCTGTAGCATCTTTGAGGAGGCGTTTGCTCTGGAGAGAGCGTGCCAACCCATGCTCTTCCCCAGAAAATGAGGTGCACATAGACGAGAAATGAGACAGAAAAGAAAATGAGGTAAAAGCGGACATTCCTGAACTGGGTAACTAAATGGAATGTAAAACTGTTGGATTCTCCACATAATAAACATCGTCCCAAACGAAAAGGCATTCACGGAAAGAAAAAGGGACAAAGAGGAGAGAGCTTGATAAAATCTCGAACGTGAGATTTGGTGTCCGGCTCCTCCGCTCAATGGAAAAGATCCTCAGATGTCACCAAGGGGCCTTTACTTGCCAAAGCCAGTGATCGTGTTCCTCCTCGGGGTTCTACGTATGGTCATTTACTATGGTTTACCTCCCCGTGTCCCTCCCAAATCTTTCTGCCAGTCGCATCCAGGATACCACTCCTCCTGCATTTTGATGCCGTAAACGTGTGCATTACGTGGTTACGTACCACCCCACCCCGTGCATCAGAGTGCTATACCAATATGTTGTGCACGCTGCTGACGTCATTTGTTCTTTCCTTCGGTCCCATGGATTCACTACTACGTCTTCGCCTTGGTGCCAATTGACAGGGCTCTTTGGTTCCCAGCAGCAGACCCGCACCAGCCCAGCTGCCAGTCATGTCACTCCCAGGAGGGTTCTCTCCCTGCGGTGCAAACCATATTCTCCAGTGCACAAAAAACAAAATCACTCTTCTCACCCCAGAAGCAAAGCAGCCCTTCTCAGGGAGGCTGGCCTCAGTCCAGAAGGTGCTCAAGGTGTGTGACAGCTCACGCCTTCTGGCCACATGAGGCTTGTTTTAATCTCCCCCTGAAAGAGTGTCTTTCAGGCACAAACACTCTTCACCTTCCAGGGAGGGGCCCTGCAGGATTGGGACAGTGCGTGCCTGCCCTCGCACCACCCGGTGCCTGGCTTCAAGAGAGGCTGGCACCCTGGGACCCAGGTGACAGGACAAGGTCACCTACCTGCTGGGGGACCAGCGCCTGCTGTCCCCATTGTGGCAGCCCTTAATGTTGCCTAGCACCCATCTCCGGCATAGTTAATATTCCTACATACAGATTGGCTACAGGGAACTCCATCACTGTCAGGCCTGGCCACAAAGTGCCCCAGAGCAAACTCTCTGTATTCGTTGCTTGTTTTCTGAGGACCAGGGCACTACCAAACTAGTTCCACGCCTTATCCCTTGACTATACAAATACAATCAGAAGTAGCACGTTCAGGCTATTGAATGAGGGTGAATGGGTTTGATAAGTCACTTCTGGAAATGTCATGAGACACGCATGGTATGTGACTGGATGTGCTGTGCCAGAACTTTGCTCCATAGTTTTACCCTTTCTCCCCTTGATATGCATATGCCCGTTACTGTCACGGGCTCACTCTTTGTAAAAAGGAGGACACGTCTCTGCCTCTCTCAATGGTCCCTCATCCTTTACCCATTTCTTATCAGCACGCATTCCTAAATATTCTCTTCTCATAACGGTTGCCTACATGCTCTCTCTGAGCAATGCATCTCACTTCATGATTTCAGTGTGTCCTCTGGGTAGATGAGTCCCAAAT